TCTTCAACCTAAATCTTTAGCACAATAAAAAATCCATGCCAATCTGGCACTGCTGTTCTCCTGGTTTTAACATAACAAAGACCATCAAGTCACACACCATCACCTTGTGACACACAATCTGGCACTGCTGTTCTCCTGGTTTTAACATAACAAAGACCATCAAGTCACACACCATCACCTTGTGACACACAATCTGGCACTGCTGTTCTCCTGGTTTTAACATAACAAAGACCATCAAGTCACACACCATCACCTTGTGACACACAATCTGGCACTGCTGTTCTCCTGGTGTTAACATAACAAAGACCATCAAGTCAGACACCATCACCTAGTGACACACAATCTAGCACTGCTGTTCTCCTCGTGTTAACATAACAAATACCATCAAGTCACACACCATCACCTTGTGACACACAATCTGGCATGCTGTTCTCCTCATGTTAACATAACAAAGACCATCAAGTCACACACCATCACCTTGTGACACACAATCTGGCACTGCTGTTCTCCTGGTGTTAACACAACAAAGACCATCAAGTCACACACCATCACCTTGTGACACACAATCTGGCATTGCTGTTCTCCTCGTGTTAACATAACAAAGACCATCAAGTCACACACCATCACCTAGTGACACACAATCTAGCACTGCTGTTCTCCTCGTGTTAACATAACAAAGACCATCAAGTCAGACACCATCACCTAGTGATACACAATCTGGCATTGCTGTTCTCCTCGTGTTAACACAATAAAGACCATCAAGTCAGACACCATCACCTAGTGACACACAATCTAGCACTGCTGTTCTCCTGGTGTTAACACAACAAAAACCATCAAGTCACACACCATCACCTAGTGACACACAATCTAGCACTGCTGTTCTCCTGGTGTTAACACAACAAAGACCATCAAATCACACACCATCACCTAGTGACGCACAATCTAGCACTGCTGTTCTCCTGGTGTTAACACAACAAAAACCATCAAGTCACACACCATCACCTAGTGACACACAATCTAGCACTGCTGTTCTCCTGATGTTAACATAACAAAGACCATCAAGTCACACACCATCACCTAGTCACACACAATCTGGCACTGCTGTTCTCCTGGTGTTAACATAACAAAGACCATCAAGTCAGACACCATCACCTAGTGACACACAATCTGGCACTGCTGTTCTCCTCACGTTAACATAACAAAGACCACCAAGTCACACACCATCATCAAGTCACACACCATCATCAAGTCACACACCATCATCAAGTCACACACCATCATCAAGTCACACACCATCATCAAGTCACACACCATCGGCACAAGACCTGTGTATGTCAGCATTAAATTCACTCAGTTTTTCAAATCTTCCCCCCGAGAGGCTCTAAACTAGTCACTGGCTGTGCCATGTTTCTGTAAATGCCAAAACATTTGGATGTTTGTAGTGACCCGTTGTGGAAAAGTGTATTTAAATTCTGCTGCTTCGATGTGTGCCTGTACAACGTTTAATGGGCTAGGCTATGAATATAGTAACCACAAACAGAATTCAGGAACATTTACTTATGACCATAATGACTTTTTGAAAGTGCAGTTAACATGTCACACATGCAGTTAACATGTCACACGTGCAGTTAACATGTCACATGGGCAGTTAACATGTCACATGGGCAGTTAACATGTTTATCACAGTATTCTAGTTGCCAGCACTACACAAAACACTACAATCGTCCCAGCTGCACACAAGTTAGGAATTCTACACAATAGTTCATTAGTTCTTAGCTTCCTACCAAAAAACATATTCATATTTCTATAAAATAGTTCATTAGTTCTTAGCTTTTCCCCCCCCCCCCCCAAAAAAAACATATTCAGATTTCTACATAATAGTTCATTAGTTCTTAGCTTCCCCCAAAAAACATATTCAGATTTCTATACAATAGTTCATTAGTTCTTAGCTTCCCCCCAAAAAACATTTTCAGATTTCTACATAATAGTTCATTAGTTCTTAGCTTCCCCCCAAAAAACATATTCAGATTTCTACACAAAAGTTCATTAGTTCTTAGCTTCCCCCCAAAAAACATATTCAGATTTCTACACAAAAGTTCATTAGTGCTTAGCTATACCCGAAGCACATTATAAATTAATTCTTAGTTTCATGCTGAACATAAACTCTTAGGTCAAACACAACACACACACTCTCACACACATTCACACACATACACTCACACACAATCACACACTTACACTCACACACAACCACACACATACACTCACACACAATCACACACTTACACTCACACACAACCACACATACACTCACACACAATCACACACATACACTCACACACATACACTCACACACATACACTCACACACATACACTCACACACAATCACACACATACAATCACACACATACAATCCCACACAATCACACACATACACTCACACACAATCACACAAATACACTCACACACAATCACACACATACATTCACACACAATCACACACATACACTCACACACATACACTCACACACAATCACACACACACACTAACACATGATTTCAGCAAACAAATGTTTAAACCAACAGACCAGCACACTTAACGCATGTCAGGTTGGGTTCAGACTCACTTCCCTGCCATCTGTGACATCTAGAACCTGGCTCACCGACCACACATCAATCACTTCCCTGCCATCTGTGACATCTAGAACCTGGCTCACCGACCACACATCAATCACTTCCCTGCCATCTGTGACATCTAGAACCTGGCTCACCGACCACACATCAATCACTTCCCTGCCATCTGTGACATCTAGAACCTGGCTCACCGACCACACACATCAATCACTTCCCTGCCATCTGTGACATCTAGAACCTGGCTCACCGACCACACATCAATCACTTCCCTGCCATCTGTGACATCTAGAACCTGGCTCACCGACCACACATCAATCACTTCCCTGCCATCTGTGACATCTAGAACCTGGCTCACCGACCACACATCAATCACTTCCCTGCCATCTGTGACATCTAGAACCTGGCTCACCGACCACACATCAATCACTTCCCTGCCATCTGTGACATCTAGAACCTGGCTCACTGACCACACATCAATCACTTCCCTGCCATCTGTGACATCTAGAACCTGGCTCACCGACCACACATCAATCACTTCCCTGCCATCTGTGACATCTAAAACCTGGCTCACTGACCACACATCAATCACTTCCCTGCCATCTGTGACATCTAGAACCTGGCTCACCGACCACACATCAATCTCTTCCCTGCCATCTGTGACATCTAGAACCTGGCTCACCGACCACACATCAATCACTTCCCTGCCATCTGTGACATCTAGAACCTGGCTTACCGACCACACATCAACCACTTCCCTATGTGACATCTAGAACCTAGCTTACCGACCACACATCAACCACTTCCCTATGTGACATCTAGATAACAGATTACCAACCAAATATCAACCACTTCCCTATGTGACATCTAGAACCTGGCTTACCGACCACACATCAACCACTTCCCTATGTGACATCTAGATAACAGATTACCAACCAAATATCAACCACTTCCCTACGTGACATCTAGAACCTGGCTTACCGACCACACATCAACCACTTCCCTATGTGACATCTAGAACCTGGCTCACCGACCACACATCAACCACTTCCCTATGTGACATCTAGATCCTGGCTCACCGACCACACATCAACCACTTCCCTATGTGACATCTAGATCCTGGCTCACCGACAAGACGTCAATCATACATCCTGCCAGTCATGTTTTCTCTGAACCTGGAGCTGCAGCACTTTCCAAGCCTTGGTGTGTGTACTCAATGCCAACTGTTGGAGTCCACAAGAAGATGTTAGACATGGTCACAGTCAAACATTAGACATGGTCACAGACAAACGTTAGACATGGTCACAGACAAATGTTAGACATGGTCACAGTCAAACATTAGACATGGTCACAGTCAAACATTAGACATGGTCACAGACAAATGTTAGACATGGTCACAGACAAACGTTAGACATGGTCACAGACAAATGTTAGACATGGTCACAGACAAACATTAGACATGGTCACAGACAAACATTAGACATGGTCACAAACAAATGTTAGACATGATCACAAACAAATGTTAGACATGATCACAAACAAATGTTAGACATGGTCACAGACAAACGTTAGACATGGTCACAAACAAATGTTAGACATGGTCACAAACAAATGTTAGACATGGTCACAGACAAATGGTAGACATGGTCACAGACAAATGTTAGACATGGTCACAAACAAATGTTAGACATGGTCACAGACAAATGTTAGACATGGTCACAAACAAATGTTAGACATGGTCACAGACAAATGTTAGACATGGTCACAAACAAATGTTAGACATGGTCACAGACAAATGTTAGACATGGTCACAGACAAACGTTAGACATGGTCACAAACAAACGTTAGACATGGTCACAGACAAATGTTAGACATGGTCACAGACAAACATTAGACATGGTCACAGACAAAGAAATCATTTGGCATTTTGCATCCTAACTTAAGAATAGTCTTCCTGACAGGAAAAGGCAGCCAGCTTTCTTTTTCTGCCCTTTATCCCTCCAACAGATCATAGGTTTTCAACCAGCTACATTTTTCTGTCCTTCATCCCTTCAACAGATCATAGGTTCTCAACCAGCTACATTTTTCTGTCCTTCATCCCTCCAACAGATCATAGGTTTTCAACCAGCTACATTTTTCTGTCCTTCATCCCTTCAACAGATCATAGGTTCTCAACCAGCTACATTTTTCTGTCCTTCATCCCTCCAACAGAGCATAGGTTTTCAACCAGCTACATTTTTCTGTCCTTCATCCCTTCAACAGATCATAGGTTCTCAACCAGCTACATTTTTCTGTCCTTCACCCCTCCAACAGAGCATAGGTTTTCAACCAGCTACATTTTTCTGTCCTTCATCCCTTCAACAGATCATAGGTTCTCAACCAGCTACATTTTTCTGTTCTTCATCCCTCCAACAGAGCATAGGTTTTCAACCAGCTGCATTTTTCTGTCCTTCATTCCTTCAACAGATCATAGGTTCTCAACCAGCTGCATTTTTCTGTCCTTCATCCCTTCAACAGATCATAGGTTCTCAACCAGCTGCATTTTTCTGTCCTTCATCCCTTCAACAGATCATAGGTTCTCAACCAGCTACATTTTTCTGTCCTTCATCCCTCCAACAGAGCATAGGTTTTCAACCAGCTACATTTTTCTGTCCTTCATCCCTTCAACAGATCATAGGTTCTCAACCAGCTACATTTTTCTGTCCTTCATCCCTCCAACAGAGCATAGGTTTTCAACCAGCTACATTTTTCTGTCCTTCATCCCTTCAACAGATCATAGGTTTTCAACCAGCTGCATTTTTCTGTCCTTCATCCCTTCAACAGATCATAGGTTTTCAACCAGCTACATTTTTCTGTCCTTCATCCCTCCAACAGAGCATAGGTTTTCAACCAGCTGCATTTTTCTGTCCTTCATCCCTCCAACAGAGCATAGGTTTTCAACCAGCTGCATTTTTCTGTCCTTCATCCCTTCAACAGATCATAGGTTTTCAACCAGCTGCATTTTTCTGTCCTTCATCCCTCCAACAGAGCATAGGTTATCAACCAGCTGCATTTTTCTGTCCTTCATCCCTTCAACAGATCATAGGTTCTCAACCAGCTGCATTTTTCTGTCCTTCATCCCTCCAACAGAGCATAGGTTCTCAACCGCTGCATTTTTCTGCCTTTCATCTCTTCAACAGATCATAGGTTCTCAACCAGCTGCATTTTTCTGCTGTTTATCCACCAACAGAGCATAGTTTCTCAACCAGCTGCATTTTTCTCTGTTTATCCACCAACAGATCAGAGGTTCTCAACCAGCTACATTTTTCTGCCATTTATCCTCAGCTACAGTCTGTATAAAACTGTACACAGTAAATATTGTGTGTGTAATGGTTAACTTTTCTGCCATTTTTTTCTCTTTGAAATTTAATTCAGGACTGTGAGAACTTGGAATGCTAAACTAATTCAGCAACTTATCATAACTTTGGAATTTGATAGGAAACTGAACAAACATTAAAGTGTTATTAACAAATTCAGATATTTACTGTTCTTGTTGCTGCAATTCTATTGTGAGTGAAGAATTATTTTGCAAAATGTTGTCTTTGTAAACTTAGCACCTGCTGAATTCTTCTTTCCTACTAATTGTAACAGTAATAAATACATAAAAATCATCAGATTCAAAATGTACATTCATTCCCTTTTTTTCTTAATTTACTTTTGTAGGGATTAGAAATATATGACTTCTCTAATCTCTTTAGTTTACACAACCTCCTCTGCCATGTTAGTAAAGGGAAATAATGTGAGCCACGTCTGTCAACATTCTTGGACCTAAAATACAAGGTTCCAGAAGCTTACCTCTGCTATGTCAACCTTCCTCTCCCAGTTCTTGATTTTTTTCTGCAGATCGTAAATGTCTGCTTTTCCATGGACATACTCCATGACGTCTGGTATTCGGAAATCGGTCAAATTCTTGCGGAGTTTTTTGTTAACTTTTTCAGCTTGTGCTCTTTCCTGGAAAAAAAGCAGATGCGTCACTCCATTGGTTTAACAAGATCTATGTGTGACGCGTGACTCAATCCATTGGTTTAACAAGATCTATTTGTGATGTTGACTCAATCTATTTGTGATGTTGACTCCATTCGTTTAACAAGATCTATTTCTGATGTTGACTCAATCTATTTGTGATGTCGACTCCATTCGTTTAACAAGATCTATTTCTGATGTTGACTCAATCTATTTGTGATGTCGGCTTAATCTATTTGTGATGTTGACTCAATCTATTTGTGATGTCGACTCAATCTATTTGTGATGTTGACTCAATCTATTTGTGATGTCGACTCAATCTATTTGTGATGTTGACTCAATCTATTTGTGATGTTGACTCCATCTATTTGTGATGTCGACTCAATCTATTTGTGATGTTGACTCAATCTATTTGTGATGTCGACTCAATCTATTTGTGTTGTCGACTCAAAGTAAACAAAAGTATAAAGGCTTCTTGATTAATTCTTGAATGACTAAATCTATCTTACATGCAAACTTGGGACTGAGTCTCGAGAGGCAGGGGGTAAGAAGTGTTGGTGTTGTGGGTAGTGGGTTCCCCCCCCCCCCTTACTTCACCCTAGGTCTAGTGAATATCTGTTCACGAAAGGAGCGTCCATTGTGGTGTCAGCCTCTTGACCTAGCAAAACCTCTCTTACCTCAAGACCATTGTGCGTGGCGAAGAGTCACAGCCTCCCCGAGGTAGTCCTGGTAACTGGGGGTGCGAATCCCCAGGCAAAACACAATGGATCTAGAGGAGCAAACCTCGATAATAAACCCGGTGCACCACACTGTACAGCCCCCTGTGGGAGGAAAGGAGCCAGAGGTGTGCTGAACAGTCTTAGGAATGGAAACAAGTATGCTAACCCCCTTGAATACCGGAAACTATCGTAAAGGCACAGGGACTCAGGACGTGACGATCCAGTTGTCCCAACTACTCATGCTTAGGCCATGCTTAGAGCCATGAAGAGCTCAGCGTAACCTGCAGGCAATCTGGTGGCGGGGAATGAGCACACTGTGAGCCCCACCTTAGCTACGTGTTAAAGGGAAAGGCAGAAACACAACCCATATTTCCTTTAGAACTGGTACAGGGCATTTCTAGCTGCTGCCCGGGGAGGTAGGTAATCCACAGACATCCCAGCACCACAATGCCATGAATATGTCAAAATTTAAGAATACATACGAGATCGGTCGTCGCCTCGTCTATCAAGGCCCGGCCAGACAGTGGGAAACCAGGCTGTCATGTGCGAAAAATTGGCTACTGGAAAATTTAAGATAAATAGGAAAATCAGACACCCCAGGAGGTGGAAGAGTGGGAGGGAGAGCAAAGAGAACTCAGACAGCACAGCAAAAAATACACAGATGCTTAATATTCTGCAGCTGAACATCTGTGGAATAAGAAATAAGAAGCTTGAATTTGCCAAACTGCTAAACAACCACAGGGTACACGTGGCTGCCCTACAAGAAACCCTGCATAAAGACTCTGATCTGCATCTCACTGGATATACTAGTTATGCCTGTAAGTGCAATGACTGCCGGGGCATAGTGACCTATATCAGAAATGACATACAAGGAGATGTAACAATGCTGTTGACATCTCACCCTACAGATGTGCAAAAAATAACTATCTGGCACAATGGAAGCAAATATACGATATACAACGTGTACAGCCCACCTCAGACAACATGCAACATACCAGAACTATACAAGACACAGTACCATAAAACCCTTCTTGTTGGTGACTTCAACGGACACTCGCCACGTTGGGGTTACCCTGACTACAATAGCACAAGGAAATACATCGAAGATACTTGTGAAACAACTAACCTATTAGTGCTGCAGGACACAGAGTCTACACCTACACTGTTACACAGGGCCCACCTATCTCTCAGCCGACCAGACCTGACCATCTGCTCATCCGACTTAGCAGACGCAAGCTATCCCCAAGTCCTGGACGACATAGGAAGTGACCACAAACCTATACTCCCAACTGTAAGCACCACTGCTAAATTATGCTTCAAGCAGAGAACCCGTTGGAATTTCCGAAAAGCAAACTGGAAACTATTTCAGGAAACATCTGACTGCCTCCTGGGAAGAATTGACACCAGCTGTGTGGAAACTTTAAGTGAAGATATAACAGAACAAATCCTGAATGCAAAAGCCATCCCATGGGGCAGCCGGAAGGCATATAAACCTTTTTGGAATAAAGAAATTCAAAATACTATATCTGAAAGGAATAAAGCAAGAATATTGCTCGAAACTGCACGTTCAACAGAAGCAAAGATCCAATACAATAAAGCATGTACCAGAGTAAAGCTTGTAGTTAATAAGGCTAAAAGAGATAAATGGACAGAAACTTGCTCCAACTTAGACAGAATGGAAATAAAGCATAGACTTTAGTTAAAAACCTCTCCGGAGAAAGTAGAAGGGTGAACCCAAAACCAGTGAGAGATGGGAGTAAGACAATCACTGAAGACAAGAAGAAAGCAGAACATTTCAATCATTATTTTGCCTCAGTTAACAGAGCAGGTAAGCTGTCAGAAGTTGAAAGAACACAGCTCTCTCAGTTGAAGAAACAAGAGAGAGCTCCAACAGCCAGCGACTCCCTTTTTGAAAATGAATTTAGCATGGATGAATGAGAGCAAGCCCTGAAGAAATTAAAACCTAGAAAATCCCAAGGCCCAGATAAGACCCACAACGAAATGCTGCTACATCTTGGCCGGTCTGGGAGAGAAGTAGTTCTCAGTCTTATTAATAAAACTTGGAGGTCAAGTAAACTTCCAAAGACATGGAGGAATGCATATATCGTCCCCATTCTTAAAACCAAAAAACCTCCAGATGACCCCAAAAGCTACCGCCCGATATCCTTAACATCATGCTTGGGCAAAGTTGCAGAAAGAATGATAAACAGGCGCTTATATTGGTTCCTTGAGAGTTCTGGTGTTCTATGCCATGAACAGGCAGGCTTCAGAACCAACAGCTGTACAGAAGACCAGCTGTTCAGACTGACACAAAGAATTCATGATGGCTTCCAGAATAAGAAACACACAGTGGCAGTCTTTGTCGACCTCCAGCAGGCCTATGACAGAGTATGGAGAAAAGGTCTCCTGATGAAGATGATGAGCATAGGAATACATGGCAGATTGTATAACTGGGTGAAATACTTCCTGATAGATAGAACAATCCAGACTAAGATGCACAACGCAATCTCTTCTAAAGAAGTCTTGGAGGAGGGCTTGCCACAAGGCTCATCATTGAGCTGTACACTGTTCCTAATCTTTATCAATGACCTGCCAGAACAAATCAAGGCCGAAAAAGCCTTGTACGCTGATGACCTAGCAATATGGTAGAGTCATGAAAATGTGGAAAGTGGAGCCCAAAGACTGAATGGAGACCTTAGAAGACTGCATGAGTACTGCTAAAGATGGAAACTCAAGGTTAACTGTGCAAAGACGGTCTACACAATCTTTACCAAAAGCCACCAAGTAGCAAGAAAGAATATTAACCTGAGGTTAGACAAACACCAAGTGATGAAAGAAGAGCATCCCACATACCTTGGAGTCACACTTGACCGGCAGCTCAGCCTCAGGAACCACATTGAAAACATCAGAAATAAGGCATTGAGGCGGTTACAGTTATTAAAGAGACTTGCAGGTACATCATGGGGATCAGACAAGGAAACTCTGAGGGGCTTATATCTAGGATATGTTCGCTCTGTGATAGAGTACAACAACTCACTGCTTACAACTTGCTCCAAAACTAACCTAGAGACTCTTGACAGAGTACAAAATAATGCCCTCCGATTAATCTGCGGAGCTATGCAGTCTACTCCAACTGCTGCATGTGAAATCCATACAAATGTGGAACCCCTCGGGTTGCGGAGAGAAAAAGCCATTTTAGAAATTTATGAAAAATGCGTGACTGACTGACTGACTTTCTACCCCACCAGGACATCACACAAGCGATAAACACCCGATGACACAAAGTGCCACCATGTGGATGAGGATCACCGTGGAGAGGTCCCAGAAACCGCGTTCAGACATTTGGCCATTTTTATGGCCTGCCTATATTGCGGCCCCTGGCAAAAGCCAGAGTGGGGCTTCAAATAACAAAAAATTACGTCCTAAGAAGGACGTAAGGAATATGAAAAATGCGTTAGAAAAAATCGTAACCATCCTAATAGACACCTTGTAGAAAACTGGGAACCCAAACAAAGAATAAAGCACAAATCGGTTTTACACTGTGTTAATGAAATTCAGGACAGATACCACCTCCCAGAAAGACGTCAAGGAATTCAGAATGTTGCAAGAAACCTACCACCACATGCTTGCTTTAAAGCACCAGAAGTCCGAATTAAATTGGTAGGCGAGGAAACCAAACAGTCCGATCCAATCGCTCTTATGAACTCATCACTAAAGACCGTTGATTCTTACCCCCAAGAATGGATACATGTCTATACTGATGGATCAGCATTGAAAGCTACCATTAAAGCAGGTTACGGAATCTACATAGGTTATCCCGATGGATCTGTTGAAGAGATTTTTGATGCATACGGGGAATTCTGTTCAAATTATGAAGCTGAAATAATTGCACTGGAAACAGCAGTATACCACCTAAAGACTGTAATGGATGTTTACCCTTTAAAGGTCCAAAATGTTGTCATCTTCACAGATTCAATGTCTGCCCTTCAAGCTCTGGAGGGCAGTGAACGCTGCAGAACTGACATAGCCAAGATAATCCTGGATGCGGATCAGCTTATTACCTCATACAACATCAGAATAGTGATGCAGTGGATTCCAGGCCACTCCGGCACACCAGGTAATGACAGAGCTGACAGACTGGCAAAGAAAGGAGCAACACAAGCGACAACCCTCCAGACAGCAAAAACACTTATAAGAGCTATAAACAAAGAGACTTGGTTGAACAGATGGGCTATGGGAGACACTGGAAGAGAGGTTTATAGACATATGTCTGGCCCTAATCCTAATGACAGCATTAACCATCTAACAAGAAGGGACCAGGCCACCATCTTCAGACTTAGAACGCAACATACTCCACTCAATGGACATCTAAACGGAATACAGCCACAACACTCCCCAGAGTGCCAGCTATGTAACTACCGCTACGAAACTGTTGAACACCATCTCTTTGAGTGCCCAAAACTCAGTGAGGCAAGAAGAACGCTACTCCCTCCGAGACCAGACAAGTGGAACACCTTGTACGGAGGAAAAGAACAGCTTGTGAAAACATGCAAATTCCACTACATGGCATTGGGCCAAAGGGCGAAAGCTCATGCGCCGCTGGATCGATAACAACAACATACATGCAAACTTAGTTTTCTGTCACAGATGTTGATAAACTGACTAAATCTGACTCACCTACGAGGTTTAGTCTTCTGTCACTTATGTTGATAGAATGACTAAATCTTTCTCAAAAGTATTAGTCTTCTGTCACAGATGTTGATAGAATGACTAAATCTGTCTCACCTACAAGCATCAGTCTTCTGTCACAGATGTTGATAGAATGACTAAATCTGTCTCACCTACAAGCTTTAGTCTTCTGTCACAGATGTTGATAGAATGACTAAATCTGTCTCACCTACAAGCTTTAGTCTTCTGTCACAGATGTTGATAGAAATGACTAAATCTATCTCACCTACAAGCTTTAGTCTTCTCATACAGATGTCTATGGAACTAGTTTCTGGATTAGTGCAAAAACTATTAAAAAAATTAAATAGACAATTTTAGTATCTGTAATTCTTCAACATGGTGTCTATAATATAGTCTACAGTCTACAGTCTAGTCTACAGTCTAGTCTACAGTCTAGTCTAGAGTCTACAGTCTAGAGTTTACAGTCTAGAGTCTGCAGTCTAGAGTCTAGTCTAGAGTCTAGAGTCTACAGTCTATGGTCTACAGTCTACAGTCTAGAGTCTAGTCTAAAGTCTACAGTCTACAGTCTAGTCTAGAGTCTACAGTCTACAGTCTAGTCTACAGCCTAGAGTCTACAGTCTACAGTAGAGTTTATAGTATAGTCTAGAGTCTGCAGTCTAGAGTTTACAGTCTCTAGTCTAGAGTCTGCAGTCTACAGTCTACAGTCTACACTAGCATGCCCTTACTATTTTGATATGTAGGGCCTTTTTTATAATTAATGTCTTTGGGACCCCACCTTCCAACCCCCAACTCCCCCCCCCCCCCCCCCCCCAAGCATGTCCTAGAAGACAAATAATTAAGGTGTTTTTTTCAAAGCTGAGTGCATCTGACTGAGAGGCAAGGAACCAAAAGTCAACATACAAGTCAGCCAAATGAGTACAATGGATGTCCATACAAAACTCAGTTCTAAAATAAGACCAATGTCCAGAAGTGGACAAACAACCAGAACTTCTATTAGAGTTGACAGCTGGTGAGCTATGAGAAAAGCAGAGAAGAAAAGCAACATTCTGGAGCTAAGGAAGACAGTGCACTTTCCTCAAAATGAGACCTTCCCTAAAAATAAGGCCATGGTTCAGGTGGTCAGCTAAATAAAAGACCTGCTACCAAATGGCCAGTCGGAGTACAGACGTCACTGATGTGCACTTAATCATTAGCTGACTGAGGCCGGAATTCTGGATTTTGAGAATTATAGCGATCTTCCAGAAGAAGATGTCGTGACTGTATTTGATTAAATGTAAAATTGTGTACATGAATAAATGTAGATGTTTGTACCTGGTTTAAAAATCCCCAACAATCAGCTCTAGCATACGTTTAGAGCAAAAATTATGTTAAGATTATTGTCTTATTTTGGGGGGAAACTGTAATAAGATAATTTGATGTAAAGAGATATCAAAACATTTATAAATGATCAAAGTGCAAACATTTCAGGCTGTTGAATATCTGGGCTAGCCAGTGACACAATGGAAGGATGGGCTCAGAGGCTAGAAAAGAGTCAGCTTACACAGACTTCTACACAAATGATTCAACAACATGCAAAATAAATATCATGATTAACAGAAAAATCTGTTGCCAGACAAATTTTGGGGTTTCTGTGGTTTAATTTTTTTTTAAGTAACAACAAAATGCAAGCTCTAAAGTTACATTAAAACTCTAATCTCTAAAGTAACTCTAAAACATTAAACAAAAACAAATGTTTCTCTCAGAGATAAAATTTAGTCTCACCGCTTCCACCATTTTAGTTTCTGCCAGGATTTTCTGCTGTAAATCCTCGCGTAAGGCCAAGTCATTCTGCAGTTTGACAGCCTCTTTAGTCAAAGTCTGAAGTCTTTGCTGTGGAGTCACAATTCTTGTGTCAACTCACCAGTAAATATAATCAAAACCAACTTATAATGTCTTAGATACTACCAAAGTCCACTTATTGTGTCAGTATACTACCAAAGTCCACTTTTTGTGTCTGTGATACTACCAAAGTCCACTTATTGTGTCTGTGATACTACCAAAGTCCACTTATTGTGTCTGTGATACTACTAAAGTCCACTTATTGTATCTGTTATACTACCAAAGTCCACTTATTGTATCTGTTATACTACCAAAGTCCACTTATTGTATCTGTTATACTACCAAAGTCCACTTATTGTATCTGTGATACTACCAAAGTCCACTTATTGTATCTGAGATACTACCAAAGTCCACTTATTGTATCTGTGATACTACCAAAGTATACTTGTGTCTGTGATACTACCAAAGTCCACTTATTGTGTCTGTGATCCTACCAAAGTCCACTTATTGTGTCTCTGATCCTACCAAAGTCCACTTATTGTGTCTGTGATACTAAAGTCCATTTATTGTATCTGTGGTACTACCAAAGTCCACTTATTGTGTCTGTGATACTACCAAAGCCCATTTATTGTGTCTGTGATACTTCACTCTAAAGACTCATTCAGTCTCAGCAGACACAGCAACTAAAGCCTATGTGTAAAGTAAAACAGAACATAAACTAATACAGAACATAAACTAAAACCGAACATAAACTAATACAGAACATAAACTAAAACCGAACATAAACTAATACAGAACATAAACTAAAACAGAACATAAACTAATACAGAACATAAACTAATACAGAACATAAACTAAAACCGAACATAAACTAATACAGAACATAAACTAAAACAGAACATAAACTAATACAGAACATAAACTAATACAGAACATAAACTAATACAGAACATAAACTAAAACAGAACATAAACTAATACAGACATGTAAACTAAAACAGAACATAAATTAAAACAGACAACTAATACAGGCATGTAAACTAAAACAGAACATAAATTAAAACAGACATGTAAACTAAAACAGAACATAAACTAAAACAGAACATAAATTAAAACAGACAACTAATACAGACATGTAAACTAAAACAGAACATAAATTAAAACAGAACATAAACTAAAACAGAACATAAACTAATACAGAACATAAACTAAAACCGAACATAAACTAATACAGAACATAAACTAAAACAGAACATAAACTAAAACAGAACATAAACTAATACAGACATGTAAACTAAAACAGAACATAAACTAAAACAGAACATAAACTAAAACAGAACATAAACTAATACAGACATGTAAACTAAAACAGAACATAAACTAATACAGACATGTAAACTAAAACAGAACATAAACTAATACAGAACATAAACTAATACAGACATGTAAACTAAAACAGAACATAAACTAAAACAGACAACTAATACAGACATGTAAACTAAAACAGAACATAAACTAATACAGAACATAAACTAAAACAGAACATAAACTAATACAGACATGTAAACTAAAACAGAACATAAACTAAAACAGAACATAAACTAAAACAGAACATAAACTAATACAGACATGTAAACTAAAACAGAACATAAACTAATACAGAACATAAACTAATACAGACATGTAAACTAAAACAGAACATAAATCAAAACAGACAACTAATACAGACATGTAAACTAAAACAGAACATAAACTAAAACAGACATGTAAACTTAAGCAGACATGAAAACTTAAACAGAACATAGACTAAAACAGTCACAGAAACTAAAGCAGACGCAGACACAGAAAATAAAACAGACACAGAAACTAAAGCAGACACAGAAAATAAAGCAGACATAGCAACTAAAGCAGACACAGTAACTAAATAATATAGACACAGAAACTATGTTTTAACCAAACACTGAAGGAGACACTCACCCATCCCTACCTGATCCCCTCACAAACACTCATAAACCCTCATCCATCCCTATCCCCACCCACAAACACATACCATTCAGTCAGCTCTGAAACAAAGGGAAACTGACCTTATAAGAGTTTAACACCTGTAAGGTGTTTCCAGTCATCAATTTCAGCCTCAGCAAGTCCTGGTTCCTCTCATCGATCTTCTCCAGGTACTGCTCGTTCTCAATCTTCAGCTGGTTGAAGTCGACTTCATTCAAGACTTCTCCCATTTCTGCTTTCTGGTTTAGAAAGACTGATCATCAAACAGTTATAACTGATATCATCACTATAAATAATTGTCAAACACTGAACGAGTTGAAGTGCAGGAGAACCTCTTTAAGATGACCATCCAAGAGACTGCAGCAAAACGGTCAACTTACGGACGGAGGTGGTCAATAGTTACAGAACGAGGCCTGTTGTACTGATAAAATGCTTCCCTGAACATCTTCTGCTGGAGAATACGGGATCCATGAATACCTACATAACCCCAACATCAAATCAAATCATCAGCGTCTGTTTCATCAGGGAATCAATTATTTCAGGGAGTAAGAGAGGGGGGGGGGGGGAGTTTAATTAGTTTGGGTTTATGTATTTTTTTTTTATTATAAATATCTATATTGGGATTAAGTGTACTCCCTCTTCCCCACCCCCCCCCCCTTTTTTTAAGAGAAAAGTGCAAGAGGGCTATGGGACCCTATTTGATTATGCAGACATGTTCTCTTTTTGAGTATTTGTTTAAACATTTCTCATATTAATTAATATCTTTCTCTCTTTCAGCATTCCTTTGTACATTGCTGCAGTTATCACCAGCTTTCATTCATCTCTCTGGTAGACCTTATCTTTCCAGTTGATGAAATGAAGCTTTTATAGGTCTGTCTGGATATTATCTCTGGTTATGACAGGCTGGTCAATATAGAGGGTACAATTATGTTGTATGTCATTTTCCAAGTGATCTCTATACAACTTTCAGAGGTTGTCAATGTTTAGAGATAGTCTGTCATTGAGAATATGTGGTGACCATCTGATCAATGAACATGATGTCAACATACAGAGGTGATTCAACAAATAGTACATAGTCCATCACTTACTTGTTTCAGTTGCTGCTTCATCTTTTTCATCTGAATTTTGAGTGCGGCATTCTTCAGCCGGAACTTTTCAATCAGCAAGTCCTAACAATTGAAAGATCACATTCACTTTGTGAATATATATGGAGAAAGAAAAGTATACCAACAAATGTTTACACAGACATCATAAACAGGGATTACTCCGCTTTAATAATTAAGAACTTACAACAGCTATTCTTGGCAGAGCTACAGATAACATGGAACCTGGCAGATTCATCTAGCAGAGCTACAGATAACATTGAACCTAGAAAATTCATCTAGCAGAGCTACAGATAACATGGAACCTGGCAGATTAATCTAGCAGAGCTACAGATAACATGGAACCTAGCAGATTCATCTAGCAGAACTACAGATAACATGGAAACTGGCAGATTCATCTAGTAAACCTACAGATAACACACAACCTAGCACATTCATCTATTAATATACAATAATAAGTGGAAATTACAGACAGAAATCTAGCACATTAATCTGATAATACATATTATTAACTGTAGGGAAACCCACTATCTCTAATTCTTTCTCTTGAGTCTTTCAGTGTGATCATGTTTTTATGATTTGTTGACACAATGAGGAAATGATGCAAGGAAAAACATGAACTCCAAGCAAACATTCCCAGGTTCTGTGTTTGTAACCACTGAAGGTTCAGAGAAGTTGTTGAGAGACACGTCCGCTGATGGCAGGTTTGAGCTCAAGTTCTTTTAAGTGATTTTTACGGATACAACTGTTGTTGAGAAATGTGAACTAATGTTATGTTTTCACAACCAATGTAACTGCAAACTGGACACTCCTATGGGCGCTCAGTCCTCCCAAGCAGCAGCCATCCCAAGGTACCTCTGATTGTTCCCATGAGAAGGTTGGATATAATATCTTGTCTTGATCTTGAGGAGAGCATAGACATGCTTCACTCCGAGTTCATGCAGTTGGGTTAACCTCAGAGAATCATTACTATCTGCCAGTCTAGACTATACAACTCTGATGATATCTGCTCGGTCCATGCATCTCCCTGCATGAGGTGGTGCATTACTTGTGGCCGGTCTGCTCATTCATTACCTTTCTTTCTGACAGGCCCAGGTGTGTAGATCCAGGTGAGGGAAGTTAAGTGTGACTGCTAAATGCTGTCTACCCATTCATATCGATGGCTACCTGTTGTGTTTTACTGAAGCAATTGTGAAATAAGTTCTGTGGAAGTAACCTAATGTTGACAGTTTAAGTAATAAAAAAGCACAATACCAGGAAATGGTTTCATAGAACATCACAGAACTGACATCAGCCATCAGCTAGAGAATACTACATGAGAAAGCAGGCTACAAGACAAGAGACTGATCAAGAAAGAGATGGGTGAAGTGAGTAAAAGAAATGTAGAAAGACATGAACACAATCGATGCTACTGGCCAAACATCAGACAATGATATCTATCTCCTCTCTGTGATGCTTTAATCACAGGCAGTTCAACAAAAGAAGAAGGAAACAGAAGTCACAAGGTGTGGATTGTACTGACAAAATATATCACAATACACCATAATATCTCATAGTATATCACAATATGATACAATACATCACAATATCTCATAGTATATCATAATATGTCCCTGGTGTCAAAACAGGTCACAAGGTGCTGACTAATTGTATCATAGAAAGCTTAGCTGGCAACTCTGTAGAGACATATTCTGACAGCACAGCTTTGGTACCTACTCTTGCTTTGATTTTATCTTCGAAGAATCTTAAACATTTTTCTGCAATAATTTTGTTGGTTCGTGGATGAAGAGCTCCTTTCAAAACATCTCGCTCAAATTCATAGTATTCTTTCTTGAGCTCCGACAGGTTGATCTCTGCTTCCTCCATGATTGCCTGGCAACGAGGAAACCAGGCAGATTTATGCAATCTCTGTTTAACTGTTTGATGTGTATACTGTCTCTGTTTGATTGTCTCATGTGTACATCTCTGTTTGATTGTCTCATGTGTACATCTCTGTTTGATTGTCTCATGTGTACATCTCTGTTTGATTGTCTCATGTGTACATCTCTGTTTGATTGTCTGTTATGTCCGTGTATCCTCTGCATGAGGTTTTGGGTGATACCAAGGGCCAATGGATGAAAAATGATATCTCTTGGATAGAACAGGCAAAGATCACTATCAGAAATAGCTCTTGGGTAGAACAGGCAAAGATCACTATCAGAAATAGCTCTTGGGTAGAACAGTCTAAGATCACTATCAGAAATGTTTGTGCACTTGACAAGATAGCCTATGGTGAGGAATGGATCAAGTTCTGCCCAGTGAAACAAACTTGCACAGACTGATAGTTACCTTGGACCGGGGGAGTCGAGAATTTTAGCTGGGAAACAAAAAAAACACATGTACAACAGCTGACCAATGACAGTGCATGCCTGTGTGACTTTATCTTATACACAGACTGATCTGAGGTGAGCTGTTTAAAAAAAAATGCAGGTGGACTTTCACTGTAAAGGTGAATACACACTGTTTCAAGAATGAGAGCCTCACATATAACATCACAATGCCCAGCATGAGAATAGAGGCTGAGGCAGTAATGGCAGCTTAACAATGGCTGTAAGGCGGTACAGCCTGAAATGTTGTAACGGATTCACAGAGCACACTTTGAGCAGCAGAGACTGGCATCCTGGCGTCACTTACGTAAGGTTTGTCTAGTGATTGATTACTGAATCAATCGGTAATCAATCCCTACATGAAACTTTGATCATGACCACTTGGATTTTCATGTGTGCAGAGTACTGAACAGGTGGATAGATTGGCTGCTGCCACTACACAGCATAGTCACCTACTTTATGATAAAGTTTATGTGTTGAAGGCTCTCAAGTGGACAGTCCAATGGTGCCAACAGAATGTTCACACACTGAGAGGCTGATTCAATGGGGAATAAAAAGAGGGTCTGAATGGTTTTGATTGTAACCTGGGTACAGTTTCAGCATCCCAGCATTCAGGACAAGCTCATGCTGGCTCTGTTTCCTTCCTCAAGAGCCAGCGAAGAGTAAAGGGAGAGTTTTCAATGCTGGAAAAATGACAGGGCGATTTTTAATCAGGCTGCATCAGGCACCATCTTTATAGGAACTTTCTATTGGCTACTGAGGAAAGGATAAAGCAGGTGTGGGAATACCCTGACTGTCATGATGTCAGTTCTATATTCATTCATTCATTCATTCATTCATTCTTTCATTCATTCATTCATTCATTCATGTCTGTTTTGTACAATGGCTCATGTGATTAACTGATGAGGTCTTTCTGTGAATGATTGTCTGGTTTACAGTGTCAATGAGAATAGAAAAAAAGTATGGCATCATCAGGATCTGAACCACTGACCTTTTGATCCACAGGTTGCAACAAATCAAATAAACTGTCTATAACGAACAGAGAGGTGAATCCACCAACCTTGTAATAGTCGAGGCTTTTCTCCGATTCTTCATCCACTTTGATGATGCTGGTTTTGAGTGCCTCAATTTCTTTCTGAGCGATATCACACTTCTGCTCCGCAGTGAGTCGTTGTGAACGGTCAGTGCTGGCCATCAACGACCTGGAGCGTTTGCGGTAAGACGGATCCCTGACACTGATACTCTGAGTGGAAGGAGGCCCAGAGTCTTTAATGCCTTCTTTTTGCTCAATGCGCGCCAGGTGCCTCTCAAACATAAAAGTCTCTGCTTCTAGCACAGTATTAGCTTGTCTACAAATATTCAGAGAGACAAGAAGAATCATTTTTATCAACTGCATCAACAGATACAAACGGCCATTGTCTGTAGTTACCACTTTCATGGTGGTGGCAGGTGGGTCTTTAATCCTGAGGTGTTAAGGCCCCATGGCTGGTGCTGTAGCCACAGACTGTGCAGGTTAGGATTTTATTTTTGCCCTCTGACAGAAAAAAAAAATCCACAACCTTACACAGGATTTGAACCCTGGTCTCCCACACAAGAGCTATGTGTTCTTATTTGTTCGGGTATCAACAGATAGCAAACTTTTCATTTGAAACACACAACTCACCACCCAAAAAACACACATGAAGAAGGGAGCTTAAAGAGATAGGGAGGACATGGGGTGAGCTACAAGCCATAAAAAGGATAGAATGACTTTGCATGAGTTGGTTGAGGGCCTATGCTCCACTGGAGGAGGGGAGGGGGGGGGGGGGGGTAGAAGCAGACAACATAACATATAGTCTATTGTTACACTTGAAGTTACAGTGGAAGTACTACCATGTTAGTTTTAGACTAACCAGCATGTCCCTCGGTCTGCATAACAAGATTTCCCAAATATGCTATGACTGCCTCCATGTACTTCAACAAGCATCAGTTAGGGTTGACAGACAAACTCCATGTACTTCAACAAGCATCAGTTAGGGTTGACAAATGACACATTAGGTTCCCTGACAAGACTAAGCTAAACATACCAGGCAATAAATTGTGCAGTGTGTTATCTGAAATGGGAACACATTGCTTTACACTTCATTTGTTTAAATTTTCTGTATATGTGTGTGCGTATGTGTGTGTGTGTATATATATATATATATATATATATATATATATACACACACACACATACGCACACACAATATATATATATATATACACACACACACACACATACGCACACACACACACACACACATATATATATATATATATATATATATATATATATATATATATATATATAAAGTATTACAAAATGAATAATCAGTATGCGTGTGATAAGACTGGAGCATTTATGTTTATGATTGGTGCCCTATTACTTCAGTTTTACCCTGTTTATAATTTTGGGCAAGTTTAAGTTTAAAAGAATTTCGAAATCAAACCTGAGTGAGAAAAGCTATTTTAGTTGTTTAATTGTAAGTGAAATTCACAGCTAGAGAACAATCCTGTACCAAAGATGTGAAAATTATGGAACAATCCTGCACAAATTATGTAAAACTAATATAGTGGAGAATAATTCTAGATGGAAAATGTAAAATTTGGTGGCAAAGAACGATCCCAAACAAAATATGGAAGTCATTTTTTTGTGTGGTAATTCAACAGTGTCAGTGAAATCAATGTTTGAAATGATTCACTCTTTTGAAGGGCAACGTGGGTATGATACACTGCTAGCTAACACCATATATTATAGTATGTTATTTACAAACGGGAATTCAAATAGAAGTCTGCCAACATCAAGCTGATTACATTTATTTTCTAGCAAGTTTCTACTACCCACTTACAGATAAGTTAACCTGGGAAGTGTAACAATAGATACTATTATTAGTCATTTAGTCGGCGCAGCATTTTTAACCATACATGGACAGAAAAACCGTTTTGTGTGAGTATGTGTGTGTACGGCAGATCGGAAAATAAAAGTAGAACATCGTCTAGCTATAACCAAACTGAGATTTTCGCTGAGCTGTAAGGTGGATGAACATACAATGTTTCCTGTATCATCTTGTGCAGCTCATCCTCGGTGAGATCGTTGAGTGAACCGTAGCTGTCCACGCTCGAGTGAGAGTGAGAGGAGCCCTTCTCCATCTTGTACCTTGCTGGTTGTCATGGCCACCAGGCTTTCTAAAAGTATAATCTCTATAAATAAATTGTTTCGTTGATTGTATGTTGCCAGCTCAAGGAAAAGAAAATAAGTGGAAACTTGGTGACTAATTTTTGTGTTTGTTTTTTGTTAATGCCTTATTTGTCCCAGAAGTCAACATAAACACCCAGTCTTTCTAGTACCGTTTCTGCACGTAAAAGCTGGCTGCAGTAGATCCCCATCACTGTCTCTCGGATCGGGTCTTTGTTCTTGCTTTGCTTATGACATACGTTTGCACAGCTACTGCATCCATTAGGTTTGCTAGTTATCATCAAATATGGAAGATTTTTTTTCTCTTTTTATAAGGTACCTAAATACTCTTGACTGTCTGACTGAATACCAACCTCACCAGGACATCACACCCAGCGATAAAACATCCGGTAACACAAAGTGCCAACATTCGGATGAGTATCACACGGGGACAAGTCCCAGAAACCCCTTTCAACCCATAGATTTAATTATATCAGGGCCCACGGCAACAGCCAGAATGGGGCTTTAAAACAACACAAAATTGCGTCCGACACTGGGACGCAGTATGCTAATATTAAGACCATCGGCGACTGTCTAATATATTCGTAGATTAGGAAAGCAAAACATCGTACGAAGTTGTTCTTATGTCGCAGTAAACGTTCCCGCCTACTACAGGAAGGCACAACTAGTACTGGAGATAGTCATGGCACGGCTGCAGACAGATCAGTCTTATATCGACAAACTAATCTCTGGACACGCTGGTTTGTAAATGAATAAGGCAGTAGAACTGTCGCACGATTAAGTCTTGTTATGGAAATATGATGAAAGAGATTATCTATGATGGTTTTGCTATACGGTGATGAAAAATGCAAGAGAAATAACGTGAGTACAAGACTAAAGGACGTCTGTAGTGTAAAACAAAAAAACAAAAACAAAAAAAAAATTGAATTACATAGTGGAGAACAGAAAATATCCTGTTAAAGCAAAGACATGAGGGTCGGTGGGATCTCCTTAGCTAAGCCGTTTGCCTCTGCACTTTGAAAGTCGACGCGTTCGGGTTCCTGTTCCATCTTTCTATTCCAGAGCGCAGGTCACTGTATAACATCGCTGCGACTACGGAATGACTGACTGACTCTTTATCACACCAGCACATCACAGAAGAGATAAACACCCGATGACACAATGCGCCACCATCTGGATGAGGATCACCCTGGAGAGGTCCCAGAAACCGCGCTCAGCCATTAGGCCATATTTGTGGCCCGGCTATATTGCGGCCACCGGCAAGAGCCATGGTTGGGCTTCAAGAAACATAAAATATCATCCTAAAAAGGATAGTGAATGACTACAGAATTTCGTGAAGTGTGTGAAATACTTACTGCGCATGCAGCAACATTTAAGCGAATTAAACATATATATTATTTACAAAAGTGCATTGTTTAAAATAAAACTAACATACATGAGATGAAACATAAAAGAAATGCGGCTGGAAAAACAAGAAAATATAGCCACCAACGAAGAACTAAGAATAAACAATGGTAGGCACACTATGATCAACAGAAAATCAAAGAATCAAATGGTTTGGTCACCTGGTCTGAATGGAACAAAATCAACCAGCGGACTACAATGCAAGACGTTGACCAAGGACAAAATTGGGCGAAGGGAGTAAAAGAGATACCATAGAAGCGCAGTATGATATCAACACAAGCTTGGTAACTTGCAAAAGGCAGGAAACTACACCCAACTACTCTCTTCGACGTTTTACAACATAATAAGTTAGACAATATAAGTAGAAGCAGTACAGCAGTTTGTTTGTTTGTTTTAGTATCCAGAAGCCATGAGTTGTTAACCCTTAGGCTCGGTATTATGGATATCGCAACCTTTCGGCTTTGATTCCATTGTAAATACCGTAAATCTGGGAGAAATGTGGCTTTTCTGCCTACCCCTGGGAGTGAACGCGGACCACAAGGAGTTCGTCACCCGGTCACCACGCAATCTGGTTTAGCCAATTACGCTAGAGAGCCGGGCGCAGTACAGCAGTAACTCATAGATGTTAAAACAATTGATTTATTGATCCGTTATGTCACCACTGATTGATTGTTGTTTTTATTAAAGAGAGAGAAACGGTGTAATCGAGTAGTCGATATTGCATAAAATCAACGGATGTTGCTTGTTGATGATGTGAAGATACACAACAGGTGTGTTTGCTCTCTGATATGTTGATAACAATAACATAATGAGAACAATATATGTGTATGTTGAAGCCAGGTAAGCCAGGAATGACCGACAGGTGTGTGTGTATCGATACCTGAGGTGAGGGTTAAAGCCAGCAGACGACAGACGACCGGACTCCATTGTCTAACTCATCTCTAACGGTTTCTTCTGTTCAAACTTCTTCTCTGCTCTAGTTGCGGGAAAAACAGGGCTTATGTGTTCCGTTCTTTGCAATGGTAACCGTAAACATGTCATCCTTTCCTTGTTGCTAACAAACAGCTGATAATAATATTATTATTACACATTTTAAGGTAACAGCCTTGAAAAAGTCAACAGTTTCACTTATCTAGGGAGCAAGATGTCATCTACAGGAGATACCGCACCAGAAATATCATTTAGAATAGCACTGGCATCTAGTGCCTTCAATAAACTGTCTAACATCTGGAAATCAAAGACACTTAGCAAACACACAAAACTCAAGATCTTCAATTCTTGTGTGATTCCAGTACTAACCTATGGATGCGAGAGTTGGAAATCAACGAAAACTCTAGACACAAAATTAGACAGTTTTGAAAATAAATGCCTTAGAAGAATACTAAATTTCAAATGGTCAGATTTCCGAACCAATACACAAATAAGGCAAGAATCCAGGCAAGAGTATGTGTCTAATTTTATACGAAAACGCCGCTGGAACTATGTCGGCCACGTCCTTAGAATGGATAAATCAAGACTTCCTTACCAAGCCCTCATTTGGACACCACAGGGGAAAAGATCTCGTGGAAGACCAAGGGAAACCCTACGTAGAACTATCATCAGGGAAGGCTCGCTTATGGGCCACTCAAACATCCAAGACCTACAACGGATTGCAACGGACCGCCGTGCATGGAGAGTCACGACCTCTGCCCTATGTGCCGCACTCGACACAAGAGGAAAGACTAACTAACTAACATTTTAAGGTGAGCCGACTGTATTGACTGTACGTAATAATTGAGACATGTTTTGAAAATGAGTGGGCTCCAGAACTTAATGACTGACGACTGGCAGGATTATTGGAGAAAATAGCAAGGGTGAGGCAAAGAGATGAATACATGGATAGCTTGGCCTCAAGGACAAAGCAGGATAAGAACGTTGATCTAATCCGTGATTCTGGTGATCGTGTAATTGACTAATGTGAAACATGATAGTCTACGCTTATTAGTACGGCACGTGATGATGACGATTTCATTGAATGAAAACGGGACATATTGGTGGCATACATGGGATAGGGAAGGGGAGACAGATGTGCAATATTATGTATTACTGGAAAAGTAAGGGGTAACTTATTTCTTTAAGGTACATGACATACCTTACACCAAGTAAACTTTTAGTTCAGTTTCAGCTAGTGCCGTCCATATGGTGATTCTTTGTTGGCTGCTGAGAAGGGGTACATGGCATGTACGAGAATGTCCCAAGTGCAATGAAGTCAATTCTAGATTAACGCATTCATTATTTAAGGGAGTATAGAGGTAAATACCCGGACAGCTTGACTACAAAGAGTTGGCAGTGCCAGCACTTTGACCTGATCTATAATTCAAGTCATCATTACAGATGACAAACGTCAGTCTAGCATGAGTCTAGCATATCTGACCAGTTTGTTCTTCATCTTCTTCATGTTCACCTGCTGTAAACTCCAGCATGTCTAGCATATCTGACCAGTTTGTTCTTCATCTTCTTCATGTTTACCTGTTGTAAACTCCAGCAGAAAGTTCTAGTTGGTCATCATCTTTATGTTCACCTGCTGTAAACTCCAGCAGAAAGTTCTAGTTGGTCATCATCTTTATGTTCACCTGCTGTAAACTCCAGCAGAAAGTTCTAGTTGGTCATCTTCTTCATGTTCACCTGCTGTAAACTCCAGCGGAACATTCTAGTTGGTCATCTTCTTCATGTTCACCTGCTGTGAACTCCAGCAAAAAGTTCTAGTTGGTCATCTTCTTCACTTCTTCATGTTTACCTGCTGTAAACTCCAGCGGAAAGTTCTAGTTGGTCATCTTCTTCATGTTCACTTGCTGTAAACTCCAGCAGAAAGTTCTAGTTGGTCATCTTCTTCATGTTCACCTGCTGTAAACTCCAGCAGAAAGTTCTAGTTGGTCATCTTCTTCATGTTCACTTGCTGTAAACTCCAGCAGAAAGTTCTAGTTGGTCATCTTCTTCATGTTCACCTACTGTAAACTCCAGTGGAAAGTTCTAGTTTTTGATCCGCTTCTGGATTCTAATCCTGTTCCAGAACTTTAGTGTTGCGTGCACATCAATTTTACACATCGTGTATGCAGATTGTTGGTTCCTTGCCTCTGAGCAGATGCACTCTGACTTCCCAGTAGTCAACTTTCACGACATGCTTTTGAACAGGCAGTGGGTCTATTCTTGTTTTTCCCACATTAAGGCCCCAGAACCCAAACAGTTGAGTTAGTTGAGTCAAGAATTGACATCACAGCACTCGGGGCATTCCCATGCATGCTCTGTCCTCTTCAGCAGTCAGCGCAGAGTTCCGATACTGATGGTACCGGTCGCAATCTGGTTATGTGTCCGTCTTGCCTTTCCTCTGAGTGTAGTGAGCCAGCCAGACCCTCTGGTTACACCCACAGAGATCTGCCAGTTTGACAAAATGCCTTCACTTTTACGAACCGACCTAGTTTCTGTAGTATGCACCAGACTGTAAGCAGTTGGACATGGCCTCCAATTTATTGTACAATATTTGTGTGTGTTCTTTTTTTTTTTAGTTATTCTT